CTCTATTTCCAAAGTATCCAAAGAAAAGTTCCCCAAGAGCAATCTCAGGTACATACTGGAAGAAGTGTTAAAATTCAGAATGATGATGAGAGAAAAGGCAAACTGAATTTGGGGAAAGCAACTGGAGAAGGAGGAAGAAGACAGCCATGTGCCCCTTCTGCTACAAGTGTGTTTCACATATGCTAGTTTCTAGGGAGAAAGCACTAATCCCATATAGAGAGGCCACCTCAGCTGCTCTCCTCTTCATCAAAACAATTCATGTCAAAAGTTCCTCTAAGGACAGTTTTTGTCAACCAGCTGTTCTCCTCTCATTGTAGGAAGTCACCTCCCTTGCTCTTTGGCTTCCTTGACCTCCAGATGAGATATGAATAGCCTTGTGCTAATGATACCCTAAAAGGGATACCACAATAAGAGGTGGTAAACCTACTCAGAGAAATTACTGCATGTTCGGTAACTTGGTCTATTAATCACCTTTTCAAGCAGTACAGCCTTAAGAACATTCTCTACGTAAGAGCCAAATTTGAGCACACAAGTTACAAAGTTTTCATTTTTACCAGAGAGCAGATTTTTTCCAAGCATCTTGGTATCTGCTGAACACACATGAAACAGGATAATAGCAGTTTACATGCATTTTCTTCTTAAAGAATTTTTACATAATGGATCTACTGTTATAACCAATGGGAGTTATGCAGTGATAGGCACAGAAGATCAGTCAACTGCACAACACCACTGAATTTTGGGAAGTGCCAGCACATACAGCAGAATATTGCGCCTGCACTTCACAATGTGCTTCTTTGCTTTCCTGTTTCAGCTACTGCCCTGTTCCAGAAAAACATGCTGCAGTATATCAGCTATATCCTTTCCATTACATGTTCAGTTGGACAACATTTTTTGACTTCTGAAAAAATTTATCAAAGAGGAGAAAATGCCAGTACTTCCCCTTAAAATCCTATGAAAAACTTCTGCTCGTTCTTATGGCTTGTCAAGCTATCACTTAGCTCAATTCTAGTAAAGAGCAATGATGCTTATAAAAATGCTGTATACAAAGATCACTTAATGCAAATTAATTCCATACGTTTAACTTCATCTACCTTGCTGCAGTGGCAAAAGGATAAACTTCTGTAAACATGAACAGCACGAGTGCTCTGACCTAGGGTACATACCACGCTTCGTAATGCATGCTACGTTCCAATCATTCACATTTGAGCAGAGCCAACAGACTGAGGAAATCAACCATAAACAATGAAGCACAAAGTTGCCATTTCAGGTCCTAGTTCCTTATTACTGATGGTGCTAAAGGAGGACAAAATAACTCTGTGGTTTCATTATCCCAAGTTGCTTCTGTGAGACCAACAGTAAGCAGAGCACATTCTGTGTATGTAGAAGATACTGAAAGACTGAGAACTGGGGATTTTTTTAATATACACGTGCAATATTCCTGGAAGAAGTTAGCCTTAGCTTTATATTAGTTAGAAGAAACAGAAACTATTGGCTTGGTTTCTGGAAAATTATATCATGACGGTCAAGCAAGTTTACCTTATGGAGAATCAGGAAGTTTCACTACAAAAGGGTCACAGTTTGATAAATCTTGAGTTTATTTTTCTTTCCAAAAATACAATTTTGGCAGCATTTGAAATATAGGTAAATAATGTTAAACCCCAACAAACCTGAACTTGCTGGACTCATTTAGCAACAGTATGTATCAGCCAAAGTTTAGATCACAGAGCTGCAATGCTGGTAACTTTTATCCAGGAGCTGTGGAACTAATCTTGGCTTGATGTTAAACTGCAAACACAGGCATGCAGCATGAACTAGGAAAATGTTCATTATCTGTTTTCCTGTACAAGCACAAGTAAGAGCTGCTCTGCTTCATCTTTTTCAGAAGGCCCATGCTCTTGTCCACCTCTCTTGCGCACATCTTTGGGCAGCTTCAGCAATCACTGAAATTAATGCTCTCAAAAATAGCTACGGAGCAATCAATATAGCATGAATGCTTTAACTGTGCATATCTATGCCTTCAAGAGTTCAAGTTTCTTTTAAATTAACCTCAAGTCTGCACTATTGCACTTCAATGATTGTGTTCTGCTGTTATACAAATTTTGATCTGTACCTTATACTCAGTTAAGCTTAATTTCATCATTAATTCATTATTTTAAATAGAGCTCATTTCAGATCAATTTGCTTAGTTTGTACAGGAAGGTTAGATGCTGAACAGTAACTCTAGCACAGTACACAGTAGGAGCACCGCTGTCTCTTAGTGATCACGGGTCATTGCTTCTACAGGACTTTAATGTCTTCCACACTGTGCACTCAGCACTGTAAGTGGGTATACCAGTTTCTTCGTTTCCCTATTCTATGCATCACAGGTGTGTCTTTGGGGAGTCTGCAAGAAACTACTCACTCACCTGCAGCTGTCTCCTCTGCCTAGCCCAAGCTAGGCTAGCTTCTGGCTAGCCAAAGCTGACAGTAAGTGCTGATGGGGGAAGCAAATCCCCACACTACAATGCTGACAATCAAAAACCATTTGTACAGAAAGATTTTCTGACACAACTTGCAAACTAAGCACAACCTCACCAAACAGATCTGGCTTTGTTCATTTGAAGTCTGACTAGTTATTCCTACGCAGATTTCCTCAAAATGACTGTATTGTTTATCCTTGCCAATTCTATACTCGTGAAGAAAGGAATGAAAAGGAAGAAGACGATTGTGCTGCTGGTATGGAAATCCTTTGAGCAGGGGATGGATTAGATGACCTACGTTCTTCAATGAGTCAACGCAGCAGCATCCACATGGTGTGAATGAATTAGAATTTGGAGATCCCAGTAATGGATTTCTAATTCCTCAGCAATCCCAACCCAACAATCCCAAACCTAAAAACTTGTCCATATGAGGCAAGCACAATAGCTCCTCTGCTACAGGAGGAGGCCCTAATGCAGTAGATCTGTACTTTCCAGCATCTGCCTCTCATAGTCCATCCATATCCGCAATTACGAGTGGTGTGTTTGTTTCACGAAGTTTGGCAAAGAGGACAAGAGAGTATCCAGGCATACTGCAGTTCAGTGATCCACAGAATTATTATTCGAGCACACAAAAGGAGGCTGGACTTGAAAATGCTATTAGCCCACATCTGTTCCAGGGTAGTGGCCAGCTCAGTAAGTGCAATGAGACATACTTCACAGTGTATTATATAACTGACATAGAATAAAGGGGCTTTACTGCACTTTATAAGAGTTGGCAGTGGTGGTAGCAGCCTGACAGTTTTAAGGCTCAGAACGGTGAAAGAACATACTGGGAATTCATGCCTGTTGCAGAGGCAGCACAGTTGGTACCCTGTGTCAGAACAGAAATGTCCCAAGTTTCTGACACAATCAGGTTCAGTCTGAGAGTTTTTATTTCATGTCTGCTAATAGTATCTGAATGGATGCTGATGGCCACTACCAAAATTTAGTTCAGCTTCTGGTAGCACACAGAACAGAATAGTAGACTTAGGTTTTGTTCTTTCTTTTCTTCTGTATCATTTCTGTGTTTTAGTGTAGTATCGTATGGCTTTTTGTTCCTTTTCACATATCCATTTAACAGAGACTAAAAAGACATCCATATTTCAGCATCTGAACTCTAAGGCGCTCTGAGTTTCTGTCTCTCCCACTACTGGGAGTGAGGGTGAACAGAATTTAGATGTCTGCACCACTTCAGCTAGATACCCAGCAGGGCATAGCATTGGATTAGAAAAAAAATCGCAACTCTAGATGATGCAGACACAAAGGTTGTGTGCCAGCATTTAAACAGGGAGGTGAGAATCTGTCAGCAAAACCCGTGAAGAGAAATCAGGCACAGAGTAAAGGGCACAAAGGTAAATCTGTAGACCCGGGGCTTGACAGAAAGTGCAGAAAGCAGTCTGGTAGAGCAGCTGGAGGATGGCAAAAATAATACACAGCATAGCTACAGTCACACAAAGAGCAGTAAAGTTATGTAAAGGTACAACAATAAAAACAATAAGCAATTAATACAATAAAAACAATAAGCAATATTATTGTTTTATCTAACAGAAGGAAAAACTATACAGTAATTTTTGTCCTTTATTCCATACAAAGAAATTACATAATAGAGTTAGGAGGTTTTCCATTATGCACCTACATCTAATACTGTGTAAACCCTCATAATCCCAAAATGAAATCTCAGGCAGATCTCAATCAGTCGTAGTCACCAAGATGCTATCATCTTGTACGTTATTGTCTTTAAAAAGAAGTTTTGCAGGCCAGGTCATACACCCTTTCAGACATGTATAGATGCAACTAATGTACTCTCTGTTCAACACGGCAGTACTTCAAACACTTCTATGGATTCTCAAGATAACTTTAAAGAATTCACTGGCAGTAATTAACTTCTAATATACAGAATAGGATGTTACAGCAACAAAAGCTTGTTTCTTGTAGATATTTATTACCTTCCCAAATTCATTTAACTGGAAAATTTTTCCATGCAGAGGATTTTTTTTCTGTACTTTTAAATATAGAATATGCATTTGGACTGTAAATTGTACATGATTCCATTCCAGTTTAGTAACTGAAGAGATTGAACGTAAGCATATTTATTAAAATACTTAACAAAAAGTCTGTGTTCTCAGAAGGTATGATTTATCAGTGGGCCTCACTGTCACAAAGAATAGTGAGACCAGGGGACATAAGAATTTAAAACAAAAACAAAACTCAAAACCCACAAATACGTACCTTGAACACTGCACAATTCCAGGACAATGTATAGTTTTATTTTACTAATATAAATCAGGAAATTTCCTTGATAGATGACTTATTAGACACTTGTTTGTTAGAAGGCTTCTTAAGATTTCCTTGAAGACAAGAGTCGTGACAGAGCACATACCAAACAGATGCCTCATAGTGCAAGTGCTTCCCTATTCTTTCCTTAAACGCAATCTGCTCTTCTGCTTTTATTAATTTTATTGAAAATAAAACTAATATATATTTCTAAAATTAGATACTTACAGTGAAAATACCCATTAGCTGAGTGTAAAAGAGTCCACTTATTCCACCTAATATTATTAGACCCATGAAGGCAGATATTCTTAGGAGAGCAAGTTCATGTCTAAACACAAAAACATCCTAGAACAAGACAGAAAGAAGAGAAAGACTTTAACACTTACAAATTAATTTAAGTCTTTGAACCAACTGGAAATACTAGATAAGGGCTGTTCCCGAAGACTTACAGATAAAGGCAAATTCTGGGTTTTTGAGCTACATTGCAAATCATTGATACATTTACGTGCTAAAATTATAAACCAATAATCTTTTATTTATACATGTAAACAGATGGGGTTTTTTTGCCAGACTGTTAAAAAGCCTCATTCAGGTAGTTAATGTTTGGGAATAGATCGAGCTCAAATGGGTTATTCCTGAATCTTCCATGTCACACTGTGCCAGATTGCTACACACAAGCTCCAAAACATAAGAAAACCATTCTGTTAAACAGTCTGATTTATAAGACTCCTGTATCTCGGCTCCCAGCCACAGCAAATTTCATTTTAACATCACTTCTTTTGTAATAAAAATAACAACATTCCTAGCTTGACTCTTGAAGATGGTACCTACAAAATCCAAGTATCTGTATTGCATTGGTCTCACTGTAATGCTGTCTATTATTGAACATAAACTTTCTTTTAAATTTTGGCCTTAAGTGGATTATTATAACTTCGGATATGGGTGCACAACCAAGTTGCCTCAGGGTACAGGAGAACATCAATTTACTGTATCAGCTGCTCTGGAAAGCTCTTACCCAGCAGAAAATATGAAAAGTGTAAGAGAGTTTTATACATCTTTTTCAAAGGATAAACCACCTTACTTTTAGCACAGGAAAATATTTGTACATGGCAGTTACTGTAGATGTACTGCAAGTTCACACCCCATCTTACCCTTGGATAATGAGTTAATGCACCCATTCTCTTATTTATAAGTTACTATTATGTTCTCAAGGCTGCCTTTTGAATGTACACATCTGTTTTTCTGCTTAGAAAAGCCAGATCACAGCAGGAAACTATTAAAACCTTTCAAGTAAACTTTAAATTACAACCCAGAACATAAAAGTGAACTGAATGAAAAAAAAAACAAACCCACTGCTTTTGAACTTTCCTTCTTTACGTTCAACCAGTAGGATTTAAGGAAGAAGAATTCTTAGATTCAGGAATACTGGGTTTTAATTAAACAGAGAATAGTTAAAGCAAATTATATTTAGTAAAAAAATCTAATTTTAGATTTTAATTATTTCAACGAAAGTTCAAAATATAAACCCAGGAAAAAAGTTTATACTGGCTACTAAAGCTGTGAAGAAAGTCAGTATTTAATGAACAAGTAGAAATCACTAGTTAATCAGCTAAAAGAAAAAGCAAACCCCACCAGTCTTTTCTGAACTGGTAAGCTAGCTCTTGTTAGTATTGGCTTTTCTTGCTGCTGTAGAAAATATATGCTTCATTTCCTTTTTTTTTTTTTCTAAAACTCTTCTTACTCAGTTAACGAGTTAATTCAAAGTTAAGTCAACTCAAAATGAAAGCATTCATACTAATCTTTATTCCCCTTTCCACCAGTCCACCAAAGCTTTACAGAAAAGCAAGACACAAGTTCTACTAGCTGTAAAATACTTTCTCTTCGTATCTTCATAGGTATGTTGTTTTATTATATCAGAAATGTTTTAATGTATTCAAACTCGACAGAAAACAGTGAAATGTAAAAGAAGAGTGCCAACATTCTGGATCTAGCATCACACTCCCCCATTAGAAAAAAGTTTATAACAAAGCTCTTAGCATCCTCCCAGCACTCTAGGTTGAAGAGTTCCTTCTCTTGAGCATCATCTTCAGCAGGTAATAGAGACATCACCCAACACATGACAACGGAAAATCCTAGCATAAAGAAGGCACGCTGCATTTTGCATTTGGGTCTTCACCCATGTTAAAACTAGAGGTACAGAAAAGGAAAGACCTTTCATACTGAAGTGAAGACCAAGGAATACTACTCTGTCTTTTCTTCTTTCCTTCCTCCCTAAAAGACGAAAGCATCTACCACAAAAGACTGGGGGTTGCTGAATAACTAGTGAGAACAGGTGACATCACCCATGTTTTTTTCCAGCCATTACACAAACCTAGGGGAATCAAAGTCTCTGAGGCAATGATGACCTAGAAATCAATACTGGGCACTCACCTAGCAAGGTGTATGGACAGAATAGCATTTTTCTGTAGAAAACCAAAGTATATGCAGGAATAGAGTCTTTTGGTAATCAGACCTTAATAACAGAGCTACTTTCACAATTCTACATTGAAATAGAAACATGTGACTCCATGAAAATAGAAAAAAAAAGACCACTTTAAAAAATCCACTTAAATCACAGTAATAATAATTATTACACATTTAGGATGTTGCTGCTTTACATAAAAGCTCAACCCAATTTGTTTTTATTATTCCTTCTCAGAACTGACAAAACCATTTTTCCCAGCTAAGAAAACTAATCAAAACTGTAACGAATCAACCCCCAAGACTAGTCAATAATTAATCAATCCCTCTTTCAATATATTTTGAACAGATCCTCTTGTTCAAACACCATTTAGGACTCATCAGTGCAGTGTGAGTGCATCAGACAGCCTGCCCCCCCAACCTCCAAAATCACACTATCTGTGCTAAGAGGAAGAACTACAGACTGAGCCACACAGCATAAGCACACGTAAGCTATCATGACCAACGCATGAACTCTCTCTCACAGCACAATAGAGTTTTGTCCCACAGCAGCTTTTTTCCATGTTGGGCCAGCTGACATATGTTGCCTTCGCACAGACGTTAAATGTACAGTTTTAACAATGTGACAGCTGCCCTTCAGGTAGTCCGTTTCTCCTCTCCTTTTTGTCAACATCACAGCCTAACTGCTCTGTCAAAACTTCAGTACACAAGGGTTGCTGCTGTTGTCTTTCTACTTAGCATTTCCTACACAGCTCAGACGTGCCCTCCTCCCGGGCTGTTGCTTGTTCTAAAGGTTTTTCAGTTCCCTTGAGCCACTACTTCTATCCATCCAGTCAAAGTGCAAGGATTCTTGGCTACTTAGAAAGATGGATAGAAATGTGTACAACAGAAACTCGCCACAAAATAAGAAACAAAGTGTAGGTCTGTAGGATTTTGTTGAGGAATGGATTACAAGCCATGAGATCTGGCATCTTTATCTTAACAGGCAATACCAGAACATTCCACAGAAAGCCAGTCTCCGTGACAGATTCACATGAGACTTCCTCAACTCCATGGCAGAACACATGCCATGTCCTCATTTGTGAGCATTAACTGTTATGGATCATCCCTACAATGAATGCCACCATTGACTAGAAAAATAGCTATTACAGCTTTATGGTATCATACAGGAGAGAGGTCAAAAACAATGGTGGGTCCAGCTCAAGATCATAATCAATGATATAACCACTGCTTCCAAATTAAACTTTCTTTTTACCCTCCTAACAACACAAAAAAAGCATGAAAACATTTAGCGGCTCCCTGCCATTTGCGGTATTGGGTTATTATTTCCAAGGGTTTAAAGTATTCCTTTAAAAACAGCACACACTGCACAGAGGGCAGAGCTTTGAGGAGAGACAAAGTGAAAAACAACCTTCATAAATTTTCCTTTACGATGTAAGATTAATTTATGCAATCTTGATTCTTTACTGAAATATGATATACACAGAAATTAATATACTAACAAAATATATTAAGACACTTGACCTTTCTCTTGGAGAAGGGATATCTCATGTAACACACACTAACCTGCTTGACTATTCTCAGTTGCAAATGGCCGCAATGTCTGTCCCAGTTTGGTGATGAGGTCAGTCTATCAACTCGGCTGTCATAAAAACAGTGTAGAATATAGAACAAAGCCAGGCTATCGGATTCAAAAAAGCAAAACAAAAAAGTACAGACTGCAGGTTTTGCAGGAAGAAAGAGGAAGGAGAGGTACAAGGGAGAAAATTCACTCATGTTAAGAAAAAGAAAAAGAAAATTAATTCACAGAACACGAGCTGCATTCTAATAGGCCCTTTTGTAAAGATATTTATTATTAATAACAACTGATGTTTATGTAAAGCACTTTTTTATACAGGACTATTTCAGGGCTACTAAGTGAGTAATTTTCCAGTCTGATTCATGACTGGATGATTTGGTTTAGAGTAAAAATGGGAATAGCACTCTGATTCCAAAATCGACTGTCTACACAGAGTTCAATCCAAAGTGATTATTCTGAAATAATTTCAGACTAGAACAGATTTTAAGAAAAGGCCACACAATCTTCACATTAAAATGACACTATCAATACATTAAGTTTTAACAAAATGTTATCCTCTCAGTCATTCCTATCTTTTCTCTAGAGACAATGTATTTACTTTCTAAACTTAATTCAATATTCATATACCGTCCTTATAATTATACAGGAGGAGAGCAGGGTTAGGTTGGTTTTGCAGAACACTGAGAAGGAAAATTGTGATGCATTTTCATTTTTTTAAAAACTCTCACATCCTGTAGGTCATTTCATGACCCCAAGAGAAAAGGTTTCCTTTAGATTCTCTTTACAATATAAATGGACTTTGGATGATACATATTTCCAGATTTTAATTAATATTAGCTAATATGTAATATTGAAACAAATATTACTGTAAATAATCTTCTCACAAGTCTAATGAGTATTTCCCAACACCTTTTATTTGAATTGGGAAAGCTGAGTCCCAGACAGAGCAGGCTGATACTGCCACAATGCTTCCTCCATTATGTTTCCTCCTGCCTCTACCAACAGAGCTCAGAACACTTTAAAAATCAGCTAAGTAACAATATTTTCATAATATACAATGGATAACTGCAGAACTGGGAACAAAATAAAAATAAACCAGAGCAAAGGGGTTTAGGTTTTTATATGTTTTTTGCTTTGACAATAATTCTAGCAACATTTCTAGCAAACAGAATGTATCAGCAAAACAACTTTTGCTGAAAAGATTAAAAGCCTTCTATGAATCAGGTAAAATATACTGCCAAAGCATTTATTTTTGCTTCTACTTGACCAGCTGTGTCTAGAATCTGTGCCAGCACAGCCATGTAGAGAGCAACTATGTAGTCATGAGAAGACTAGTATTTATTCTTCTCATCTCACTATCCACAAGATTGAATAGTTCCTAAATGATGCAGACTTCCGACCTTGATGTTTTTTAATGAAGATGCAAAATTAAGAACATTCCAGTCTTAGCCTCTGAAAATCACCAAAGCTAGCAGAGGAACTCATATGCTGTTTTATTTGAATTATATATTTTTCTTCTGCTAGGATCTCACATAGACAATTTAATTAACATTTCCTTCATTTCTAGCAGTAATTGTACTCCTCCTGCTGGACGAACAGGCACAATAGCCTCTTTTCTGACAGTGTATCAATTGCAACAGTCAAGAATACTATGAGGAATTTTCTGCTGTAAGACGGGAGCTGAAAGATTATACCTCTATTGAAATGGCTTCCTCCATCAGCTTTAAAGCTACCACGCTTACCTTAGTATACTTAATTAAAAATGTTTGGGTTTTTCTTACTTAACCCTTTAAAAATAAAAATACAAGTTTTCATTCAGAAGGAAATACTAACATGCATACAGTGATCATATTTTCATAATGCATTAATCAGTACTGTGATAAAATTATTGTTTCACAGGAGCATTAAAAGCATTTTATTTCTACAGCTTCTGTGTTACATACTATTTTATGTCCAAAGAATAAAAATTAAAATGAAGGCACACCGCCAAAAAATTCACAAGTATTTTTAATGAGCAGGAAGTAAGCTAATTCCAGATGGCTGTTTAGAAAAAATTACCCAGTTTTTTGAATCTGTGCTGAACCCTAGCCCCTGTCAATTCAGAAAATGTAAGCTCTTGGTTACAGCCAAAATTTCGACAAAGAATAGTGCTTCCATGAAAGGTAGAAGGTACTGCAGTCTCTGGAATGCTGTGGTACTTCAGCTTTAATTGATATACAAAGCCTAAAAGAATCTTGCAGGATGCTTGCCTAAAGACTTAACTAATAGTAAGCAAATCTTCTCACTGGTCCTGTTTATTTGATGTCACAATTACATAATGCTGACAAATTATTCTGTGGCACAAAGTTATACAGCATCATATCCTTAGCAACACTTTAAAAGATCAGCTTAATGGGGCTCTGATGTCATCTTCCAGGCAGATATATTGACTAGTCACTCAAACAAATTATTCTTAATTTTCTGTACTTCAGTGTATGTCCCCCAATCCTGCAGCTGAAAAACTGAGAAAGCCAAATACTATTCAGTGTAATACTAGACTTAACAAATGTCTGAACCAGACCTGCTGTGTCTACTAAGTTTTTCTATATGGTGTAAACATATTTATCTCTCCGGTGCACAGAATGTTGTATCCTGTTATACAGATCCAGTTTTTCAAAAGGAAGAGTGTCATTCGAAGTGTCCACATGTGCAAATTGATAAAGCCAAAAAACCCACTGCTAAAACAAAGCAAAACTAAACAGAACAAAGTACTCCGTTTTTTCCATGGCTCTGGGTAAATGGCAGCCAAACATGGAAACCTGATCCACACTTCAAGCAACTACATTAAATAATTATTGCATATTGTATTCTGCCTCCTAACCCGTCACATCTTCTAAAGGGTAGATATTAAAAGTAGGCCTCTCTCCAAAAGACTTGAAATTAACCCAGTTAAACCATCAAGAACAAAGTTTTTAAACTCTTATTATTAATAACTATTTATTATTACCTCTTTAGAGGTTGTAAACCGTCTGAAGTAAACATTTCCCTTTTCCTCTCTTGCACAGACCATCTCCAAAGCAAATAATTTGGTTCCCTTTCATCCTGCTTTTAAAAAGCAAGGCTAACAAACAGAACTTGGGTTCCTTATCTAAACACAGTGTAATGACCTAAAGTAAGTTAGAGCATTCATGGGACTCTCACAATAAAAAGGAAATATTCTACCAGGAAATTACACTATTAGAGAAGCACCGCCAATTTCATACAAAGATTTTGTCTCTGGAAAATAACAGTCCTTCTAGAAGCACTGCTGTACCCGATGCAGTATTGAGATCAGTATCACTGAGAAACCTTTGCGCTTGAAACCTGCAAACCCTGTGCACGGGAAGCCTTCAGAACACAGAAAGTATAAGATTACTCTGTCCAGAAATGTAGTAGGTTAACTTAGTTTATAAATTAAAAAGAAGTTTACAAAGCTACTGAAACTAGAAGCAAAGGCATTTATATGTAGTTACTTTTCAAAAACATTAACTTTCCAAAAACCCAAAACGTAACATATCCGTAAGAAATTTTACTTAGACAACAGATTTCTTCACTAATATAGAAAGACTGCAATTTCATATCCCTTTTAACTTGAATGCAGCTGCAAGAAGTCAAAATAGCTCCCTCACATCTCACAATGCCTGTAAAATAAGGTGAATATGAAAAGCCCATCTGCAACAAACTGGAAGCAACATGAAAAATGTGAGTACTCCATTTTAAGAGACACATTTTACAGGTCTGTCTCAGTTTACAGGGCAGTGTCTATGGAAAGATGCTCCAAGCAGACAGCAAATTCTTCTCTTTTCCATATTTCTAGAGTCCCTTAAACCATTTAAGTGGAAATATTAATATAGATGAAAAAATTAAACAATGAAATACCTTTAGAATAGAAGTTATTTTAAGAGAGATTTGCAAAAATCCTCAACTTTGGTACATTCCATATAACAAAAAGTTGGTATCTATCAACTTGAATATAACACTTTTATCAGTTCTGGTTGATCCAAGGAGTACAGTCTTCCTACATTTTCAGCTCTCCTTTGACACATCATCTTCACATACATCTTCTAGGGAACATCACAACCATTGCAGACTGATATGGGAGCAAATAAGAAGCTTGGAAGGCTATGCTCCATTCTCTTCCAGAAGTAGAACTTTTCAGGAAGTTTAATACTCTTATTTTATACCATTTAGATACAAAATAGTATAACAAACTTAAGCTGTTCAACAAAATGGAAAATGGGACTAACCAAAGGCCAGTCTCCAGCAGCCTTGAAAGATGGGTGTGATGTCACCAGCAGAGAGTGTGCTGGGGTGTCACATCAACACGGAATAAAAAAATTTGCAGCGCTTCAGCACTCGGAAAAAATCTCAACAAAATTTAGAGTACACTACCAATTTCTGGGATGGTCTTAGTCTCTTCGTTTAGGACATCTGGAATGTTATCTAATTTTGAATATGTTTTAAACTTGTTTTCTAGGTTTTTCTCTTTAATGCGCTTGTATTTGCTATAGTCCAATACAAATACAACGTCCATTTCAGATTTTGGGTAGAAGTTTTTATGTTTCTTTATGAGCAAGATCTCATAAAATTTTCTTCGACAGAAAGAGTATCAGCTTTGCATTCAGCAACTTTCAAGCCAACCTCTTGAATATTCTGAACATTGCAGATAATAGACATAAATGAGCACCAGACACAGAAACTTTACAACTTCAATTCCATAATGGAAGAAATTCCATAATTTTTTACTCTATTCCAATATGTAAGTCCATTTTCTTTGTGTGTTCAACTGCGTTTTGCTGATGACAAGATGCTGAAATATGATTATGGCATAGAGTCCAAGTAAAACAAAACGAACTTAATTCTCCCGCGTGACCTTTTCACAGCAACACAAAACATTGCTTGAAAACCAATGTACATTTTTCTCCTTTCAGAATGATCATACATTTCGTCTCATTTTTCTGGCAATATCAGCATTTTTAAATAGGGACTTAGGATAGACATATACTCTGCATAAATTTACTTTGGAGAAAGTAAAAAGAAATTTGAATGCACCTAAAGTGGTTACCTTGCTTCTTCCCAGTATTCACTAATTTTTAAAGGAACCTAACTGGTTCTGTCCTCCTTCCCAGATTTCTAAGAAAACTAATGTTGTATTTTTAACACATAGAAATCATATACCCTTTCAGAATGCTATTTTGTTACTTACCATGAATCAGTTTGCTCACTTGATAACATACATCTAGATGAACTCTCTTCATTGTCAACAACTGAGCCAGCAGAAACGTGTAGTAACTAGATACCAAAATAAACATACTGCAGTACTAGCTATTTATTCACTTTGTAGAAAAAACAGATTCTTACCCAGCTTTCTTTTTTCAGAGGCAAAAAGTAGTAGTAATGGCAGAAATCAAGTATCAGTGTATAGGAACTAAGGATCTGAGTGTAGAAACACAGCTGTAAAAACAGCCAATGATTGTCTTCACCAACACAATTATTAATCCTGCAGAGAAACAGAGTTTATATATAAAGACAGAAATATAAAGATTTCAGCACTGCAGTTATGATACCGTGAATAAGAGAAGTTATGACCATTTGTGTAGCAAACATAAGAACTACTGACTAATCACTCCATTCTTAATCAAAGTGATGGTCTCTATGTTAGATAGAGATGGCAGTTACTGTAAAGAGTGAAGCTACTGTAAAACTACTGAAACTAGAAGCAAAGGCACTCACATTTAGTTATCTTTCAAAAACATTAACTTTCCAAAAACCCAAAACATAACATATCCATAAGAAATTTTACTTAGACAACAGATTTCTTCACTAATACAGAAAGACTGCAATTTCTTATACTGCCACTTAAACTGTAGGTTGCATTACTGAGATCACTGCTTAGAACAGGAAACATATTTCTCCATATCTTCATATAGCAAAGACACTCCTACAATCTTAAGTAATACCCAAGTTAAAAAAAAGTATTTTTTAGAAGCCTGCAAAATTTCACAGTAATATGTATTATCTTCTGCTACTCAACACATTTTACTGGTTGTGAACCATTAGAGTCCAAAAACTGGAAATGCAAATGAATGGTTTGAAATAAATGTGATCACAGGGTACCCCAATGACAAATAAGCACGACTTAGGAAGAAGCCTACGACACAGAAGACAGAACAGGCATCTCTATTCAGAAACTCTTTCTGCATACTCCAGCATAAAGTAGTAAAGGAATCACAATGATTCTAGAAACACTAAGTACAAGATTCAAAATCTTTGAAATTTAGATTTAGTCTGCTTCACAGAAGTCACATCGATGCAAAAAATGTGGTCGGGGTGCAATTTCATACGAGCATTGCCACAGACATCAGTACCAAGCTAAGCCATAATGACAAAACCACCATACTGGCACTATTTTCTGAAGTAGCAATTGACAAAAAGGGTACTTTGAAAAATGGCTAAATCAACATAGGAGGATCCTGATGTCAATTCTCTCCTCTGCAGTTCATCATTGCTGTCTTGCTGGAAATGATACCTCAGAACTACCGACAAAAATGTTTATTTCCATTTTAAGCTACAAAAAATCAGTTTAAATAGAGAATTTTAGCCAGATTAGTCCGTTTTGACTGAAACTAGTTAGAAAACACTGAAATAAGCAATTTCACTAGAAAACCAGAGAGGCTATGACAAGTGGGGCATGGTAGGAGTCAGTAACATTTTCTACTCAGCACAGCCATTCAGTAAACTAAAACCCAAAAACTGTCTGAAACCGTGATCTATTTTTATTATTATAAAGAGCATCCCCTCTTATGTTGAAATTACGGCCTTTTATTTCAATCCAAGAAATATAAATATTGTTTAATTTCCTACAAAAAATACTTTTTCCAGCATCAGAAACTAAATTGCAACAAATGAAATAAATCTGCAATGTACAAATGAATTATTTTGAGATCAGTTTTAGGAGTAAAAATTCCAATTCTTTAAACAAAATATGTGAATTTGCAGAAACTACATGGCATGTAAGAATTTGACAATGACAAAATGTTACACTGCAACAGTTCTTACGGTCAGTTTTACTTGTAGACATAAGAAAGTCTCAAAGATGTTCTTTCCCTGCTCTAAATGCCTAAATGATTAAGCACTACTGGGGAGGAAATAAGACAAACGTGCAATAGTCAAGACCATGAACTTTGAAATTATTCACTAAAACAACCGCAGATTGTTAGAACAAATGTCCTGGTCTTACCATGGACAGTGGTGATCCATCCTCCTCACACAATGACCACAACGACTGCAATGGTGTGAACGCTTTGGTCTCATCATATTGCATTTGTTACATAATTCCCAATACTCTCGTTCTAGGTGAAAATGTAAAGACACTTTAGAGAGATGTAAACTCTGTACACCATGCTCATGATAAATCTATATGCTAGTGATTCAAAGACAAAAAAAAAAATCTTACTGTGATCTGAGAAGGGTAAGCAGCATATAGAAAACTTTTTTTCCACTGTCACTTTAATTAAACTGGAAAATATTACTGCCACTCTGTGCCAGTTTTCTTCTCCAAAATCCTCTCTCCTCCTATATATTTCTAGAGAGTCATAATTACAGCACAAAAACTGTCACTCAAACAAGGAAGACCATAATTCAATTATTTTCTTACACATCTACTGTGAAAAAACATATCTGCTAGACAGAACCATCGTGCAATCTCCCTGCCATTCCAAAACCTCCTAAGGAAATACTGCTACTTGAATTTGTCAAAGCTAGTTAACCAAAATAAAATACACAATGAACACTTCAGGAGCATCTTCCATCTCAAAGCATTTTAAGACATGCATCTCACAACATGCAATTTTACACATAAGGCAACCAAAGAACAGAGAGAGGATAGGCTTGTATTTAAAAATACACACTATTTTTTGGATGCCCAATATGAAATTCTTTAAGCTCTGATCTCCGGAGCTACTGAGTAGCTGAAACTACCAGGAGCTACTATTGCCCAGCTTAGCTATTATTTATCCCAAATTGCACCAGCCAAATTAGAGGAAGCCTTTGAAAATGAGAATGCAAATATATATTCAGAAAGTCCATCTTCACATGGGAAATAAATCACACCAACACCATAACACTTCCATTCACAAACACATATATTTTCTGTCTTTAAGAAAAATAGGCGCATGACTGAGAATCTTAAATACTTTGACTGGTTGTTTCTATCTAAACAGAACTTTTTTGATGCAGAGAAATTTCTTAAATCCCAGGGGAAAAAAAAAAAGCTTAGTTTTTACAGTAGGGCATTCTGAAATTTTATACGGTAAAGCATTCTCCCTATGTAAACAAAATAAATTTAGCACTTCTGAGCCACCTGCAGGTAGCTCTAATCTTGTCTTTCTTCCTGCAAAATAACATTTGGACACTGGAAGTAAAGAAGTCCAATATCTGAGATCATTAAACTAGAATAATGCCAGATGGAAACTGATTTACAATCTGTTCCCATAAATCCGGTGTCACAAAGGTGTCACTCCCTAATAGGGTAGCTACCAGCAGAGTTCAGAAACACCCCAACCTCATTTTTGAATACAATTTATATCATGCAAAAATGTATCTTCCTATCAACCTAGAGAATACCAGAGAACTGAACTGCCACTTTAGAAAGTAGAAACCCCCTGATATAGCATGCACCAAATCATAATATCAATGTCACAGCCAAGGCTAAGTGTTCCATCTTCAGAAGTATCTATAAAGTATCATTGACGTATGAAATGAATGGAGCATGAAGAGGTTGGAGAGCTATTCAAAGGGATCCCTTAAAAGAGAAAGAAACATTTGTGCACAAAGGGAATTTGTACTGGTCCTGGTATTTGCAGGTAAATGAACACTCAGTCATAAATGTCACTGTCTGTAACTGTACTGAGTGTCTTCATTCGCCAGCTCAGGCTGCAGAATCCACGTTGTTCTTCCTGCAGCAAGAACTTTGACTGCAGAACCCAAGTCTGAGCCACCTTTCATTTTACTGGATCAAAGGCTCAGTTACCAGGAGCAGAAAGAACACTGACATGAGATTTTCTGCATCAATGTTCCACATCTGAATCCCAGGGAGATACATCCCTCCTACTACCTGCTGCCTACTTTGGGCACATTGTAACATCAATGCTGAGGCTAAACAGATCATGTTTCCAAACCCATCATCCTAGATTCTCACTAACATCAGGAAGAGAGAGCAAACTGTTACTCCTGGCACCCACCACGTTGCAAGACAAGGCTGAAATATTCACCCCTCGCTGCATTTGATGCATTTTCTACGTTCAAAAAGTATTTTCTGTTAAGGTGACAAAGCTCATGCTGTTTAATAGCCCTACTCCATTCTAAACTGCTATGTAAAAGCTCTATGCATTAAACAAGCACCTTAATAGCATCAAACAGTTCATAAAAATTTTGGCTTTCTCTGTGGAGAATTATTAAGGTTTCAAATTTCCTCCAATTTCTGGAGCATCAGATACCATACAGGAATTATAGGACAAATTCACAAGGACAGAAGGGAATTCTCACATGAAGTTGCAACTCTATAGCAACTCAATGTAATTAGCGTCACATTTGTTTTGTTAACAGCCCATACAAACATAAGTCACCAAAAAAAAAGGTGTAAAAAATCCAGCGTAAGAGTACCTTCTACCACCACTTTCAACATCTTATAAATTTACTTAGAAAAAAGCTGTAGAATTATGACTAACCATCTCTAAACATTTTTTATTAAATATTACCAAGTTAGAAGTATATGCAGTACGTTTGAAAGCCTAGAATGCAAAAAAATTCTTCCCATGGAAAAATTTCCTAGCCAAAGTTCCCGAACTTCTGATGGAATACAAGTTTTTGAAAGAAGTTTTGAGTCTGCACAAGGGAAAGTGCTAGACATTTACAAGTTAAAAACAGTGACATACTGATCTTAATTTCATTAACAATGCTTCAGCAGAGACAGCTCATGGTTTCCATCAAATCTCACAAAATCAAATTGATTCCTAATTATTTTGAGGACATTAAAATAACTTTTATTTAATTATATAGAAACAACTTAATGTACCTGTAATTGGTATCTTTGGGTTTTCAGGTAGCTTTCCTGGATCAGCTACTGAGGCTCTTAGTAATGACGCTATACAAAACAATGAGCAGAAGTAATAACCTGAAAAAATAAATAAGCACTTGTTAAGTCTTTTTCACATGTACAAAATATCTACTACACACTGCACCAAAAATATAGATGCTCCAGCACTGAGTTGGAAATTACTCAGCCTTCTCATTCAATTCCTGATATATTTTTGGTCCTATACAGTCTACAATATTAAGTACTCTCCTGTGTTAAAAAGGGAGAGGAAAGGGTAGAAGTGAACACTGTTTCATAGCACCAGCAGGATGCCACTATGATCTTACTACTGTATTTAAGAAGTTCCTCCACTGTCTTATCAAATAAGCACCCATCATTCTACACCTCAAAGCCTGTATGTGAAAGGACATTCCCAATAGCCCATCTTCACTTTAAACTTGGTTCCAGTTATAGTTCAAGCCTCTTCTCTCCAGCAAAAGCGACTAGCATAATTCATATCAGCTGACCCATCCAGGGATGTATGACAAAACTAACAAAACTCAGTTTGTCAACCATCAGTACTACCATCCCAAATTCTGACAAACACTAAGAGTTGTGGGCCTGAAATTCTGTCAACAAGTTCCAGCTACAGGAACTGAAAGCAATACCAATGCTTTTCCCCAATTTCCACATAAACAAGTTTTACCATAACATCTTTGACATGAATGAAGTGTCTCAACTTCTCAGAACACAAAAATGTAGGATGCATCCCAGTATTCTTATCCTTTATCTTATCCTTCATCTTTATCCTTGACCTATTCTTTATTTTCTGACCTTTCTCATAGACAGTTAACTACCGCCCAAAGATACTATTTTTACTAGCAGAAAAAAGGGCTAAGTTAAATTGACTTACACAAAATTGCCACAACTGAAATATGTCCCTCTTCATAGTGAGGAAAAAGGATGACTTTTGGAATGAAGATTGTGTTGTACAGCCAGACAAAGATAACCAGGCCCATGCAGCACCAACCCTGAGGGTCAACCACAAAGTGAATTTGTCGTCCCATTGAACACAAACAGGTAATAATCTGTCACGACCCAGGAAGAAAAGATGATCCTAGAGAGATAAATAAATTAAAAAAAGAATAAATTAACTAGTATCATGCAACCTACAGGGTTCCACATACATTCATATAGGAAAAAAACTCTGTCAGCTATTGATTTAAGGAATTAGAGGAAAACTTAAGACATTTCACATACACTGTTCAAGTACCAGGAAGAGAAATATTTTATGATTTCATTAGTTAGTTATATCTCACTAAAAAGTAACATTTATCATCAAGATGCAAGTAAAACAAGTACCTGGGAAAACTATGAAGTAATAGGTAAAGCAAGCAACTGTCAGCCAGCTAGCAGCAGCAAAGGATATAAACATTAAAGAAAAGAAGTCTCCCATCAAAATAAAAAGGTTGCAAAACAAACAAGATATGCAGGGAATGATTTATTTTATACAAGGATTCATCCCACCTACCTATCGTACTCTCCCAACTATATTTCAAGATTATTTTTTAAAAGCTTGTATGCTAAAACAGTCACAAGCTTCCCTAGGAATTTGACATTTTTCCCTGCTTAGAAAACCTCCTCCATGGCATTTATAGCAAACCAACAGAGAAAGGAACCACACTACCCTAACATCTTTCATGTAGATCATTAAGAGATACCATAAAATAGTAAGTTTTCTCACTATTAATCACACTTAAAACATCAAGGTTTCCATTCTGATAGCTTAGTGTGCCGGGTTCTTTTTTCTTTTAGACTGAAGAAACCCCACCAAGTCCTACAGTATGAACTTCAGAGCTTCATAAACTGATCTTCATAAAACTGCAGCACTAAGTCATAAGCACTATTCAGCAGAACCTTCAAGGGAAGGATTTACTACTGTTACTTTTTTCGTCAGGCTGCCTTCATATACATATCTTAATATTGCAACACATGCATAAACCCCAAGCTACTCTCCTACCCATTAGTTTCCCTGATCTCTGGGCTTCAGGGAACTTCTCCATTTCAGATGGTTTTCCTTCCATTCCTTTCAGCTTCTACTTGTTGCATTGAAATTTCATTTTGTTAATCCGTCAGACATCTCTGTTTCCAGGGGTTTTGCATACTTACTTCATGTTTGTCTATCCTCACTTGCATTCACAATTTCTCTGCTTAGTATTATCCACAAGTTTCATTAATGTCTTGTTTTCTTCTTTTTCTAGATCTCTAATCAAAATCAGACCCAAATAAGTTATCTGACATTTTTTCACACTTCTCCTATGCATTATTTATCATAACGCTTTGTTTGCTGTCCTCTAGTACAACAGTGTTCCCACTCAAGTATAGCAGAGTATTAAGTGCTTATTTTTATCCTAAAAATTCATCAAATCTGCTAACACTTGTTTTATAAAACATGTTGCATACTGAATACAGCTACTGTGCTCTTAAAACTGTTTTTAAGTTCATGATAATCGTAAAAACTATTTAGGCCTATATTTACTATTCTTTTTTAATTTTACTGTACGTAGCATGCATGCATTATAGTCTGTTGTATACCTGGTATTAATATACTACACACGTATGTACAGTCTCTAGACATATAAATGATGCAGTATTATACTCCTGAATCTACCAGTTCTTAATGTGCCTCTGTTGTAAAATCAGCAGGTTTAGAACTAAAAACCATTTTATATCCTTCTAAGCGTGCACTGATAGAGGATCTGTCTCATCAAGCAGAGAAGCTGTGAGAGGAGATGAGCAGACTGTACAACATCAGAGAGGTTGAAAAGGAGATGGACCAGATCCCTTCAAAACCCTGCAGCTACAGTAACCCCCGCTGCACCAAGAAGAAGCAGGCAGAGCCTTAGCTTGTCAGGCTGGGCATGGAGATGCCGAGTCTGGCGAAGCCCGGGAGCTTCTGAGCTCCAGCACCAGGAGGACAGTTCCTGCTCCGCTTGCAGCTCTGATCTACAGAGCAGGTTCTAAGCCCTGGCAGCAGGCAAAGCTCTGTCCAATGAAGCCTCTGAGCTGGTTGTGCCCAAGTCCTGTGGCAGTGGGGGCAGGACGGAGCAAGGAACAGTGGTGGGAAACTCCCTGCTGCAGGGGCAGAGGCATCTCTGCCAGCCCCACCTGCCACCTGGCAATGTTTGCTGCTTGCCAGGGGCTTGGGTCCTGGATACCATGGATAGGCTATTACTGAGGCTGGTAGTAGTCTGGCCCTCAGACCATTTCCCTCAGCTGCTCTTCCCTATGGGCACCACGGCTATAGCCAGGGGAGACCAGGAGTGTATCAAGCATGACTACATGGCTTGGAGTATGAGGGCCAGAGCCTGAGGACCAGGTGGTGTCTCCTTTGTCCTGCTCGTGAAGGGGAAGGACTTGAGGAGGAGTAGACAGATCCCACAGACCAACAAATGGTTGTGCAGCTTGTGTCAAAAGCTGGGACTCAGCTTTTACATCCACAGGACCTTCTCTGAGGATCAAGAACTGCAGGGGAGGGAGCGCAGGATCCATCTGACACTATGTGGGGTAAGGGCATCTTTGTCAACAGACGGCTGGTCAATCTGCTAAGGGAAGGCTTAGGCTAGGAACGATGAGAGAGGAAGGTGGTGACCTACGATTGAGTGAGGAAGTCGTGGTCAGGGTTTGCAAGCAAAGGATAAAGGATGACGTGGAAAATAGAAATCTTATAATCAACAAAGCAGAGGTGAAGTGGGGCCACATGAAGTGCACGCACACACTTGATGCAGAAACACCACCTGGGTGTACTGGGATGGGATTAGGAAAGCCGAAGTCCACCTGGAGTTGAATCTGCTGAGGGATATGAAGGTCAAAAGGCAAGTCTTGTACAGGTACACGACCAGCATAAGGAAGGCTAGGGGAAATGCGGGCCTGCTGCTGAATGGGGTGGTGTACCTGGTGAAAGGATACAAAAAGGTCAAAGTGCCTTCTTCACCTTGCTCTTTACGGGTAAGACCTGCTTTCTGGCATCTCAGGTCCCTGAAAGTCCGGAGCAAGAAAGACTTACTCTAAGTGAGGGAGGATCAGATAAAGAAACCTTTAAACAAACCGGACATAACACTTCCATGGGACCTGATGAGATGCCGCCATGATGAGTGCTGAGACAGCTGGCCCTCTCATTGCAAGGCCACTCTCAATTATGTTTGAAAGTTTTAAGCTGATGGGTGAGGTTCCTGAGGACTCAACAAAGCAAGTGTCAACCCTGTTTTCAAGGGCAAGAAGGAGGATCCAGGCAACTACAAGCCTGTTAGCCTCACCCTGATACCTGGCAAGGTGGAGCAAATAATCGTGCAAACTGCTTCCAAACACATGAAGGACAAGAAGGTGATTGGGAGTAGTCAGCATGTATTTACAAAGGGGAAATCATGCAGACTGACAGAAACACAGAGGCCAAAAAAACCAGAGGCAGCTAGAAAGACTGCTGACCGCTGAGGAATCCATCTGTATTCCATCTTACCAGAGCAGCAGAGATTGCGTGACTTCACAGCGCTTCCTCAGAAGGGGAAATAACAGCTCAACAAACAAAACAGAGAGATATAAGTACTGAAATACTTGTTTCCGAGTGACCTACTAAGTATAATGTGTGAGCAATAAGCAGTACGAGAGATTTTGGAGAAAACAGTAAGAATGCCTATAATGGGAATACATCCCAAATTTTTACAACTCAATGACTAACTTTTGCCTGCACTACATTATTCACTTTTAGAATTAAAAAAACAAACCAAAACGAAAGAAAAACAAATATACACCACCCAAACCCATACCTTTGATGGCAATTTCCACAACTAAGTTGGAACTATGCAAAAAAAGGCCCCATTCTCAAGAAAGGGAGATTTTTCATCATCACCTTCTGTATCTTTCTGAAAGAGACAGAAAAGAGTGGGATACTCAATCAATCATCATCACTGGTTTGAAAGGCAGCATATAATAGATTACCTTCTATTCTGTTCTTCATAGCTCACCTCACTGAGTAGAGCTTCCTCTCAAGCTATTCAGAGATATCCAGATCCTTTGCCTCTCATGTCTCAACTGACATGCTGATTCTAACTAGCAATCCTCGAATTTCAGTTCTAGGCCATTTCACAATTTTAATATAGATTGAAAAGGATGGGAGTGTTCAGAGAAAGGTCCATATAAAACTGCACTACTGCCAGTGTATTTCAGTTACTTTAAATTATGATACGCTTGCTTCCTGCATGCCTATTATAATGATAAATTAAGTTTTATATTTTTCATTATACTTTTGTCAGAAATACTGCACAAACAATGTTAATGTATTGACTTCCTCCAGCAAAGTGAGCTTTTTCCCCTCTCCCTCTTGGTTTATATACCATATAAATATAAATATGTAACGGTGGGAGAGGAATAAAGAAAACCTAACATGTGTACATTCTGATGATTAGGTAGAAAGTACTAGATTCCAATTTAACCCACAGACAAGGTGAATTTATAGCCTTCTCTTTTTAAACACACTTTTAAAAAATCTGTATTTACTCTTTCAAATACAATTTCAAAAGAAAGGAAGACTGATCTCAAATAATTCTGTTCTTTAGGATGCATCACTTCTGAGAAGAATAACTACAATATGTAGAGGAAAAAAGTCTATGAGCAGGTTCACAACAAACCAGTTGAAAAGAAACAATTAAGTGATTTATGTCCATATACACTCAGTATTCACACATGCAATGCCTAAAAATCTTCCAACAAAATCATTTAGGATAAAATACACAACACCAATGTTGGAGGTTTTGTGGTTTTCTTCCCTCTCGTCCTAATTTATAACCATTTTTTTCTAAATAAACATCTCAAACACAAAGCATTTGAAAGGAAACAGTAGCTGTGTCTGTGAAAAGCTTCAGATTTAGTCTTTCCTACATGATCAAGAATTGTTCTTGCCTTTCCAAAAAATACTTTTACTACGGGACAGCATTTTTTCCTAACCCTTTTCTTTCTGTTGAATTCAGTTAATGGTATCATAAACTCAGTATTTGTTCACTACAGTCACCTCCAATATGATTTCTGATGTGACATCCACTGAATAATGAGACGACAGAATGA